GCTCTGCAACTTACCTGGCTGCTTCTTGCTCTGACTAAGGGCTGCTGGGAGCAGGGGGTGGGGCTTGTTGCATGTGCCCGCCCCCTGGGCTCTTTACTGCCGGAGTTCCACTCCTGTGCGCTCCGGCAGGAAATGACCCCTGGTTACAGCCAACTCATGGCAACCCCATCCATGGGGCAGAGGTGGTTTGCCATTGTCTTCCTCCACCTAGGAGACCAGCTGAGCTCTGAGCAGGAGCAGGAGAGAGAGCTGTGAGAGAGGTGAGTGGGTTTCTTTTACTTGCTTTCAGCTGAGAGAATTCAGCTAAGGATATTTTGTGGGAAAACTGTGTTTAGCAGTGTGTGGAAGCACTTAGAGTTCTTGCAGAGTCCTGGCTGATTGAGTGTGGGAGAGGAACGGGCATTGTTTGACTGGGATTGCCTGTAATTGAGAGGAAGTGGAAGGGGCATTGTTTTGCCTGTGATTGAGTGCCTGGGTGAATTTGAATTTGAATAGCTGCTGCCTGACCTCTGCTGGGGGAGGCCTCTATTTAAGGAAGCACCTTGCCAGAGGCAGAGGAGACCAGCTGAGCTCTGAGCAGGAGCAGGAGAGAGAGCTGTGAGAGAGGTGAGTGGGTTTCTTTTACTTGCTTTCAGCTGAGAGAATTCAGCTAAGGATATTTTGTGGGAAAACTGTGTTTAGCAGTGTGTGGAAGCACTTAGAGTTCTTGCAGAGTCCTGGCTGATTGAGTGTGGGAGAGGAACGGGCATTGTTTGACTGGGATTGCCTGTAATTGAGAGGAAGTGGAAGGGGCATTGTTTTGCCTGTGATTGAGTGCCTGGGTGAATTTGAATTTGAATAGCTGCTGCCTGACCTCTGCTGGGGGAGGCCTCTATTTAAGGAAGCACCTTGCCAGAGGCAGAGGAGACCAGCTGAGCTCTGAGCAGGAGCAGGAGAGAGAGCTGTGAGAGAGGTGAGTGGGTTTCTTTTACTTGCTTTCAGCTGAGAGAATTCAGCTAAGGATATTTTGTGGGAAAACTGTGTTTAGCAGTGTGTGGAAGCACTTAGAGTTCTTGCAGAGTCCTGGCTGATTGAGTGTGGGAGAGGAACGGGCATTGTTTGACTGGGATTGCCTGTAATTGAGAGGAAGTGGAAGGGGCATTGTTTTGCCTGTGATTGAGTGCCTGGGTGAATTTGAATTTGAATAGCTGCTGCCTGACCTCTGCTGGGGGAGGCCTCTATTTAAGGAAGCACCTTGGCAGAGGCACGAGCCTCTGGCACGAGCCGAAGGGTGAGCTAAAGGGCTCTTTGCCTGTGGCTCTTAGCCTAGGGACTCTTAGACTAGGGGCGCTGTAAGAAGCCCAAAAAGAGCCAGAAAGACAAGGCCCTAGGCTCTTTGTCTTTCCCGTAAAATAATTTGACTTGATAACAAAACCCACATAAATACCAAGGGTTTAAAAGGGGGATTATATTTATTTATTTTAAAAGAATTATGAAGCCAGAATGCCAGCAGGGGGTTGGGGGCTATCCAGTGTTTTGCACGGAGTGTCACATGTATGACTATCTGCCCACTGGGCAGAAGTCTTGGGTGTGTCCTCGGTGCAAGGAGCTCCTGGTTCTCAGGGAACGTGTGTGCTCCCTTGAGGCCAAGGTGGCTGACCTGGAGAAGCAGAGACAGTCAGCTAGGCACACAGAAAAGACTCTCGGGGACTTGTTAGCTTCGTCCCACTCTGGATCTGGCAGCCCCGCTGCTGTCAGGGAGCATGAGGGTCTAGGGGAAACAGGGCACCATGCTGAGGATAAGGGGAATGTGCCCTCAGAAGGGACCTCTTCCCCAGCTGGTGAGCGGCTCTCCTTTTGCACCAAGGAACCATCCCTGAGCAGGGTGGGAGGGGGGCTCTTGGTAGTGGGTGATTCGATCCTTAGGCAGGTAGACAGCTGGGTGGCGAACCCGCGTACTGACCGTATGGTGACTTGCCTGCCTGGTGCGAAGGTAGCGGACATTACGCGTGTTTTAGATAGGCTGGTAGATAGTGCTGGGGAGGAGCCAGTGGTCGTGGTGCATGTCGGCACCAACGATGTGGGGAAATGCAGTCGTGAGGTCCTGGAGGAGAAATTTAGGCTGCTGGGCAGGAAACTTAGGTCCAGGACCTCCAAGGTAGCCTTCTCAGAAGTGTTACCTGTTCCACGCGCAGGGCCGGAGAGACAGGCAGAGATCAGGAGTCTCAATGCGTGGATGAGACGATGGTGTAGGGGGGAAGGGTTCAGGTTTGTTAGGCACTGGGATACTTTTTGGAACAAGAGGGAGCTGTACAGGCGAGACGGTCTCCACTTGTCCCGAGAAGGAACCAGGCTGCTGGCACTTAAAATCAAAAAGGTGGCAGAGCAGCTTTTAAACTGAATATTGGGGGAAAGCCGACAGGAGATGAAAAGTCTCTGGTTCGGGTTGGCTCATCTGAGAGAGGTGAGGGGGTACCGGTTGCTTTTCTACAGGGAGGTGGATTGAAATTGTCCACAGAGGCCATGGCTGGTGACATGGACTGCCGGACAACGACTCGAGATAGCAAGAGGAAGGATGCAGGCTTAACTTGTAAGGGAAATTACAGCTGTTTCTATACAAATGCTAGAAGTGTCCGAGGTAAAATCGGGGAGTTGGAGTGCTTGGTGTCGGAGGGAAAAATAGACATTGTGGGTATTTCTGAAACTTGGTGGGATGAGGAAAATCAGTGGGACACAGTGATTCCCGGTTATATATTATATCGGAAGGATAGGGGGGGAAGGGTTGGAGGTGGGGTAGCTCTGTATGTCAGAGAGGGTATAAAGTCTAGAAAGATTGAGAGGCTAAGTGAATTGGATTCGCTTCTGGAAGTTCTATGGGTTGAAATAGGGGGGCCAAAAGGAAACTTAACACTGGGAGTTTGTTATCGCCCACCAGATCAAAAGATAGAGGAGGATTATAAAATGATGAATGCCTTAAAGATAGCAACTAGACAAAAACACTGTGTAATAATAGGTGATTTTAACTACCCACACATTGATTGGGTCAATATGTGTTCTAGTCGGGAAAAAGAGATTGAGTTTCTAGACACTCTAAATGACTGTGCTATGGAGCAGATGGTCACGGAACCTACCAGGGGAGAGGCGATCCTTGATTTGGTCCTAAGTAACACTCAAGACCTGGTGAGAGATGTAAAAGTGATTGCACCGCTTGGAAACAGTGATCATAATGTTGTTGAGTTCATCATTTGTACAAATAGAGAATTGGCCAAAAAGACTCACACAACCATTTTTAACTTTAAAAGGGGTAATTTCTCTGATATGAGGGGACACGTGGGGAGGAAACTGAAAGGAAAAGTAGAAAGGGTCAAAACAATTGGGGAAGCTTGGGATCTATTTAAAACTACGATCCTAGAAGCTCAAAAAATATATATTCCGCAGGTTAGGAAAGGCACAAACAGGTATAGGAAAAAGCCTGCATGGTTAACAAACAGAGTAATGGAGGCTGTAAAAAGTAAAAAGAATTCCTTTAAGCAGTGGAAAGCTAGTCACAGTGAGGCTGATAAAACGGAACACAGGCTATGGCAAATAAAATGCAAGTCTGAGGTCAGGCAGGCAAAAAGGGAATATGAGGAGCATATAGCAAAAAACGTAAAAACCAACAATAAAACTTTCTTCAAATACATTAGAAACAGGAAACCAGCCAGGGAGGCAGTGGGGCCCTTGGACGACCAAGGGGTAAAAGGAGTATTGAAGGATGATAGGGAAATGGCTGAGAAGCTAAATGCATTTTTTGCCTCCGTCTTCACTGTGGAAGATGAGAAGTGCTTGCCCACTCCAGAACCACTGATTTCAGGAGGGGTGTTGGAAGACCTGAGTCAGATTGAGGTGATGAGAGAGGAGGTCCTAAAACTGATAGACAACTTAAAAACTGAAAAATCACCAGGCCCAGATGGCATACATCCGAGAGTTCTGAAAGAACTCAAATGTGAACTTGTAGATCTCCTGACAAAGATATGTAATCTTTCCTTAAAATCTGCCTCCATTCCTGAGGATTGGAAGGTAGCTAATGTCACTCCCATCTTTAAAAAGGGTTCCAGAGGAGATCCGGGAAATTACAGGCCAGTCAGTCTGACGTCGATACCGGGTAAATTGGTGGAAACCATTATTAAGGAAAGAATTAGTAGGCACATAGATGAACAAAACCTATTGAGGCAGACTCAGCACGGTTTCTGTAAGGGAAGATCTTGTCTCACTAACCTGTTAGTGTTCTTTGAGGGGGTGAACAAACATGTGGACAAGGGGGATCCAATAGATATTATTTACCTTGACTTCCAGAAAGCTTTTGATAAAGTTCCTCATCAAAGGCTCCTAAGTAAGCTCAAAAATCATGGGATAGAAGGACAAGTCCTTTTATGGATCAAAAACTGGCTAGTTCATAGAAAACAGAGAGTGAGTGTAGGTGGGCAATTTTCTCAGTGGAGGGTGGTAAGCAGTGGGGTACCGCAGGGATCAGTACTTGGTCCACTGCTTTTTAACTTGTTCATTAATGATTTGGAGATGGGAGTAAGCAGTGAAGTGGCTAAATTTGCGGATGATACAAAGTTGTTCAGGGTGGTGAAAACCAGTGAGGATTGTGAGGCACTCCAAGGGGATCTGTCAAGGATGGGCGAGTGGGCGTCAACATGGCAAATGGGGTTCAATGTGGCCAAGTGCAAGGTGATGCACATTGGAGCCAAAAATCCTAAATATAAATACACATTGATGGGGTCTGAACTGGCAGAGACTGAGCAAGAGAGAGATCTTGGAGTTGTAGTGGATAACTCACTGAAAATGTCGAGACAGTGTGTGACTGCAATAAAGAAGGCCAATGCTATGCTGGGGATTATTAGGAAGGGTATTGAAAACAGATCAGCCAATATCATAATGCCCCTATATAAATCAATGGTGAGACCTCATTTGGAATACTGTGTGCAGTTCTGGGCACCACACCTTAAAAAGGATATTATAGCTTTGGAAAAAGTGCAGAAAAGGGCAACTCGAATGATAAAAGGGTTGGAACACTTTCCCTATGAGGAAAGGTTAAAGCGCTTAGGGCTCTTTAGCTTGGAGAAAAGACGACTGAGGGGTGACATGATCGAGGTTTATAAGATTATGCATGGGAAAGAGCAGGTAAAGAAAGAGGTACTTTTCTCCCTTTCTCACAATACAAGAACTCGTGGGCACTCCATGAAACTGCAGAGCGTTCGGGTTAGAACGGATAAAAGGAAGTACTTCTTCACCCAAAGAGTGATTAACACATGGAATTCACTGCCACAGGAAGTGGTGGGTGCTACAAGCATGGACGGCTTCAAAAGGGAATTAGATAAGCATATGGAGCAGAGGTCCATCAGTGGCTATTAGCCACAAGGTATAGCTAGGGGCTCTGGGGCAAGTGATGCTCTGTCTTCTTGGTGCTTGGGGGGGGTCAAAACAGTGGGAGGGCTTCTAATGTCCTGGCCCCACTGCTGGACCTCCTGATGGCACTGGTATTTCTGGCCACTGTGTGACACAGAGTGTTGGACTGGATGGGCCTTTGGCCTGATCCAACATTGGCGTCTCTTATGTTCTTATGTTCTTAGAAGAGAAGAGATTGGATTTATACCCCGCCCTTCACTTGGAGTCTCAGAGCGGCTTACAAACTCCTTTCCCTTCCCTTCCCCACAACAGACACCCTGTGAGGTGGGTGGGGCTGAGAGAGCTCTGACACAAACTGCTGTTTTTCAAGGACAGCTGTGCCAGAGCTTGTGACTGACCCAAGGTCACATCAGCAGGTGCAAGTGGAGGAGTGGGGAATCAAACCCGGTTCTCCCAGATTAGAGTCCGCACACTTAACCACTACACCAAACTGGCTTTATTCCTTTATTCCGTGGGAATTCCACGGAATACCTTTATTCCATGGGAATTCCACGGAATACCTTTATTCCGTGTCCAAGAAGGCTGACCGTGTTACTGGGGAAAAATAAGTCTCTGTAACATTTTTGGTTGGCAACAAAACTATGTATTCTGCCTTCTTCCGTCAAATAAAATGAACAGTATTCAAGATATTTTTGGCTAGTTTTATAGCTGCTGCTTATTAATCCTCCTAGTTTTTTGTTGGAGTTTTTATATTTATCGTAAGCCCTCTTGGTGTGCAGTCTGTAGGCAAAAGGGCAGTCTGTGAAATAAATTGTCTTGTGGTCCGTCCCCCCCCCCCCCCCCCCCCAGTTTTGATTTTTCTCTTTGGAAGAACAGTTGTTCTCTGGCAGCTAATTCTGGAGGCCTCTTCCTCTTCTCTCTGTCTCTCCAGATTGTCCACATCTTAAACATGACTTCCGCCAAGATCCTTTCTTTCCCGTTGCATCCTGAGGAGAGCCTCCACTCCCTCCAGTGTCGGATTGAGTCTGAGACCGGCATCGGCACGATCAGCCAGGAGCTGCTGCTGGAGATGGGGATTTGCCTGGACCCCCGGAAGCCGGCCTCTCAGTGTATCATCGATGGCGTGGTAGGGTGCTTTCCGCTTCAGGACTGACGAATGCAAAGCCCCAACGGTGCCCGCTTAAGTACAGTTGATAGCGCACTGTCCCTTGATCAGAACGGGACGTGTTTCCTCTTTGCTGGTTTTGTGTCCTGCCAGGGTGAAGGAGCCTTTCGTTCCAGTGCCACAGTCGCAGGGCTTTTCTGCTTCCCTCTGAAGCAGAGCCCTGATAGTGGTGCCGGGACAGGAGAAACGGGGCGGAGAGGGGAGGGAGACTGGCCCCAGCTCCTGGTCACGGAAGAGGAGGGTCTCAGGAAAGATGCCCGGCAGCAGCCCAATGGCTGGAAATGGCGCCATCATCGGCTACCTTCCCAGAAGCAGCCAATAGGAAGCCACGTTTGAACACATGGACCAAAGGTGACCCGGGCCCAGCGCACGTGAGCGGCCGCTCATTAACACAGGAAGCCCTGCTCAGCAGCAGTCTGGAGCCGCGGCGGGTTTTGCCCTGCCCACGGACCATTTTAAGATTACAGCAGTTATATTATACAGCAGTTATATAGCAGAGGTCCATCAGTGGCCCCTATTAGCCACAAGGTATAGATAGGGGCTCTGGGGCAAGTGATGCTCTGTGTTCTTGGTGCTTGGGGGGGGGGGGTCAACAGTGGGAGGGCTTCTAATGTCCTGGCCCCACTGGTGGACCTCCTGATGGCACCTGGCATTTCTGGCCACTGTGTGACACAGAGTGTTGGACTGGTTGGGCCTTTGGCCTGATCCAACATTGGCGTCTCTTATGTTCTTATATTCCACTCAGGGTGCGAACTGCTCCACTCGGGGTAGGGGGAGGAACATTACCTGGGCCCTTTCCTTTCGCTGTTCCCAACCTTCACCTGTCCTGGGATCCCCCCCTCCCTGCTTATTTGTGTTTACCTTTTGGGTCTGTTTCTGCACCTAAAACAAAGCCTGGCATACTCAGTGGCTTGGTTTTCCACCGCTGGCGTGTCTTTCTGAGACGACGTTCTCTTTTTTAATTTCCATTAAATACATAGTGATGGAGTCACAGGTGCTTCTTCAAGGCTTCTTAAAACCTTTTCTGATTTTAAACGTTTCTTTCTTTGCCAGAGGGGCTGGGATAGCTACATGGTCTATCTGTTCGACAAAAGCAAGACTATATACGATGGTCCCTTTGCTTCTAGGAGCCTGTCTGAATGTGTAAACTGCATTGGTAAGTAGATTTGCAGTGTAAACCTAAACGGTTGGTTGGTTAGTCCAGTTTGGTGTAGTGGTTAAGTGTGCGGACTCTAATCTGGGAGAACCGGGTTTGATTCCCCACTCCTCCACTTGCAGCTGCTGATGTGACCTTGGGCCAGTCACAAGCTCAGGCACAGCTGTCCTTGAAAAAGAGCAGTTTGTGTCAGAGTTCTCTCAGCCCCACCCACCTCACAGGGTGTCTGTTGTGGGGAGGGGAAGGGAAAGGAGTTTGTAAGCCGCTCTGAGACACCTTTGGGTAGTGAAGTGTGGGGTATAAATCCAATCTCCTCCTCTTCTTCTTCTTCTTAGTCACGGGGCTGTATTTCCTGGGAGTGGTGCTGAAACTGATAAAAGTTTTATATCTGTTTGTGAAGGCGATAACATTCCCCAGCTGTGGTGCCCCCCGGCTGCTGTTATTCAGTGGCGTTTTGCCTTTGAATTTGGATGTTCCCTGTCATTCTCACGGCAGGTAGTTCTTCACGGGACTGCCTTAGAAAACTGTCCAGAAATTTCAGACGGCGCAAACTTGGCCCCTGGAATCCTCAGTGGTGCCTGCCATGACAGGTGTGTAAGTCCAGCAGTTGATTAGTTGGGGAGGCCTTACAGTCGGTTTCTGGGCTCTGCTCGAAATGTTGATTTTGACCAGAAACGCAGCATCCATTCAGGCTTTCCAGCATAATTTAAAGACACACTTTATCTGAAGGCCCTTAGAAATTGTTTATTCTGTTATATCGCCCTCACGTCTGTTACAGGGGTGGCCCCCCCCCCCCAGTATTATGCTGTGGTGTTCTGTCGTCGTTCTTCCTTCGCTCCAGAGGGCAGCCATGTTGGTCTGAGGTAGAAAAGCAAGATTCACGTCCAGGAGCCCCCTTAGAGACCCACAAGATTTCCGGGGTATAAGATTCCTGGAATCAAAAGCTCCCTTCATCAGATCTGCCATGGACTTGAATCTTGCCATAAGTATTTTGGAAACCCTGTACATTTTATGTTAGGCGGTTCATTTGTACAAGAATAACAGAAGAAGAAGGGACATTTAGGCTTCTTCCTGAGAGAGGCACAAAACACATGCACACACCCTTTTGCTGTGGCAAGCAGGACGGGGACAGCATCTACACGCCCCGTGGTCTGCTGTGGCCCCTCCCCGTCACACCTGCCCATTGTGCCAGACCCCCTGTCCAAAGCTCCCAACTTTTGGTTGCGGCATAAACATGACAGCATCAATTTTATTGTTATGTTTTACCAGTCTGTTAGGGCACTGGTCAAATAATGTCTCTCTTTTACTCTGCTGCGTAGCCAGTTATGTGTCTATATATTTTATTCTCCGCATGGCCCCATCTGTGAATACTTTGGTATTGTGGTTAAGAGTGGTTTGGTGTAGTGGTTAAGAGCAGTGCACTCTAATCTGGAGAACCAAGTTTGATCCCACACTCTTCCACATGCAGTCAGCTGGGTGACCTCAGGTCATTCCCAGTTCTCTCAGAGCTGTTCTCTCAAGAGCAGTTCTCATAAGAGCTCTCTCAGCCCCACCTACCTCACAGGGTGTGGGGAGGGGAAGGGAACGGAGATTGTAAGCCGCTCTGAGACTCCTTTGGGTAGTGAAAAGCAGGGTATAAAACCAACTCTTCTTCTTAAGTCACTAATCAGGGCCACGTAGAGAAGGAAGAAATCTTTCTACAAATTTTGAGGAACCCACAGGTTCGAAGAAAAATCTGAAAAGGTTTTAAAAAATGGAGAGAGGATTAAAATCCTCCAAAACAAAGGAGGGCAGACCCATGCACCTCTGTCAGCCTAGCCTCAGTTTGGCATAGCGGTGTAGAGAGCCAGTTTGGTGTACTGCTTAAGAGTGCGGACTCTACTCTGGGAGAACCAGGTTTGATTCCACACTCCTCCACATGCAGCTGCTGGCGTGACCTTGGGTCAGCCACAAGTTCTTTTAGAGCTGTTTTCTCAAGGGCAGTTCTCGAGAGAGCTCTCTCAGCCCCACCTACCTATTTTTCCAGGCCCAGTTGTATGATGGGGGTCACTGGGCCAGGCTCAGTTGTGCAGTGGGGAACCTGCTAGGACTTATGGGGGCCCCACACTTTTCCCT